ATCTTCTTGTCCGTCTTCTGCAAGTCAGCGTTGAGATATCTCTAAAATATTCTCAAATTTTGCGAAATAATGCAAAAATAGTTAGTTTTTGTTCAGAGAAGTTCTGAAAAACAAGAAGACTCTGGAAAAACTGAGAGCATTCTAGAGTTTTTCGACGTAGATTATTACAGAATGGTTTGAAATTCTCCGATAATTTCTCGAGTCTTCTTGTTTTCCAGAACTTCTCTGGACAAAAACTGACTATTTTTGCATTATTTCGCAAAATTTGAGAATATTTTAGAGATATCTCAACGCTGACTTGCAGAAGACGGACAAGAAGATAAACTGGTATCTAGTGTCAACATATGGATTCCAAAAAACCACGAAATATCAGACTCTGATAGACGTAAAAAGACTGACCTCTTCCAAATTTGTGTACCCCTATGCCCGGATGTTACCTTTTGGTACCATCAAGCCGTTTGACGACGGAGAAGTTATTCGCGGCAATGAGCACACTTTTGGTATTTCCACGCTGATAGAACTACAAATACACAGGACAAGAATTTTTTACTCTCTCGCTTCTAGTAGCCGGCCGTAAAGGGTTAATCGTTAGCCGTAACCGTAAATAACCGGTCGAACAGTTAACTGTAACCATAAATAGCCGCTTTATAACAATTAAGTGTATACTTGGTTTTTGGTTCGGTGATATCGGTTTGCATTAGAAGTAGACAAGAATGATCTTTGTCCTGACCTTAAAGTACACCTACGAATAACTTTGTGAAAATGCCTCTTACCAAGTATACACTAAGTTGTTAAAAAGCGGTCATTTATGGTTGCGGCTAACGATTCGAACGGTTATTTACGGTTATGGTTAACCGTAACCGTTGCATGCCTACTTGAAAATGAATAGACTATAGGTAATCGAACATGCTGAATCTCGTGGCAATATTTGTTTCTAGAAAAAGTTTTATGAAAATTTGTTTTTCAGGCTGTTCTAACCTAATATTAAAAGGTTCGCTATTAACTCATAAAACATCAGAACGGGTTCACAAATTCATAATGTAGCGTATTTAAGCTTTTCTATATCCTGTTTATAGGAGATCTAGAAACGACATTTCACAAAAGTCTAAGATTATCTGAAAGTACTTCTGAAAAACCCAATGACGAAAATATGCTTTTTCGAACTTCTACTCACGTTTCGATAAAACTAACCATATCCTGAATTTGTGAACTCGTTCTGATGTATTTTGAGTGAATAGCTAATTTTTTACTATTATGTGAAAACAGCCTGAAAATCAATTTCGTAAAACTTTTTCTAGAAAGAAATATTGCCAAGAGGCTCACCATGTTCGATTACCTATAGTCTATTCATTCTCAAGGCTACCAATAGCCACTGGGTGAAAGTCCTGGGATTCGTAGGAAATCCGATACAATGACTGAATCGAGGAAAATCAAAGTCTCGCTTCACTTCTGTTTTGACGAGAAGGGCCATTTATGTCGTATTAAATGTTAGTCGTTTTTGACTTGAGTACATTCAATTAGCAGTAACACTGATTGTAATTCAAACACAAAAATTTTATTCTCTAGAAAACAAAAAATAATAGCAAAAACATAAATCTATTCTCTAATGATTTGTTTCACTCCGATAGATATCTCACAAATAATCAAACGCTAAAAATCGTTGTAAATGTTGAGGTAAATGTGATTTTCTCAATTCATTTCTATTGATATTGCCACTGATTGTTTTATTTCAATTCTTAGAATGTGTTTTAATGACCACGTCGATGTTAACTGTTTAAATATATCTGATAAATTAATTTGTCGATGGGTATCGCATACGATTTGAGCACACCATTTTCCCGTCGTTCTTCGTAATGGTATTTGCCCATCGTATAAACTCAATGCAAATAAATATTTTAATCGAACAAAGGCATGCTTAAGAATGAGTGACGATACAACAGATGTGTGTGATACAATATGTTCAGCTAATTATTTAATAAAATATTTTGAAATTTTTGAATCATCAAAATTTGTTCGATAGTGAAAGAGACATGTTAGACAATCAAAATATTGATCTACTGTAAGACCACGGAGTTCAGTTTGCATCTCTCGAAGCTAATTTTTTCACATTCAGATAGAGCACATCGAATTACATATAGACAAAGTATTTCCAGCCCTCCAAAAACAATCGAACCGAGATAATAGGGCCAAGACCAAAAATACCGGGTTTTAGGCCAAAAATTGTCATGGTCACCATTCAACGAGGAAACATTTTTATGAGCTGCGGTTGTGATATTCGTGATCACCGTGCTCGAACCTATAGGAATAGATATTATTTTTATTAAAAAGTGAAAAAAAATTTTTCGAAGTCCCTGAGTGTCCTAAAAAGTTTCGGAAAATTTTTTTTGTCGAATTTCAAAAATGTAAAACGACAGTTTTGTTCAGAATTTGATGCTGATTTCGAAAATGTATAATTCATGCGAATTTATTTTAGGACGAAAAGTGATCATTTTGGCATCCGTCCTTTGGAATGGCAAACATAACTTTCTTTTTCGGAACATCCGAATGTGAATATGTTCTTAGAAGAAACAATAGAAAAATTAAAAGATTTTATGATAAATGGAGCAACATTTTCTATAAACAATCGTGAATATAAAATCGCTATTCGAACTCGGTGTTTTATATCCAATTTGCCTGCACGTGCACTATTCATGAAAACGATTAGTTTTAATGGTTATAGTGCCTGTAATTATTGCGTCACTAAAGGTATATTTCTTCTGTTTTTCTTAAAAAATGCATGTTCAGAATAATGTCAAAGTGGATTTTGCATTCCTGCAAACACAAGTTCATAATCAGGAAAAAATTGACGATTATATAGTAGTATTTCGTCTGAGTTCACGTAGAAAACCCAATGTGCTGTGTTCACCTTCAAAAGTGCTTTGTGCTTTGACCACCGTAAAACAAACGCGCTTGAACTCATTACATCATTCTCAGCAGGAACGTCTGCTCTTGATACTAAAAGTACATTTGTTTTATTTAGGTGAATGGAGTAAAGATCATAGTATGGTGTTATATCCTTACACTGGGAACAATTATATAGTACGATCACATGATCAGTTTATTGCTGTTGTCAAAGAAGCCTCCAGAAACTCAACAGAACATCGTCCAGTGGTAGTGCAAGGTGTTAAAGGTTTATCATCTTTAATTCAAATTTTTAGGTATCCAGAGCAGTTTGTATTTGAATAGATGCACCTCGTTTGTCTCGGTCATATACCAACAGTGATTAGACGCTGGCACAGAGTAGTCGATAGACAAGTTTTAACAAGAGTACGTTGTTAGTTTATTATTTTGCGAGTATTTGTGAGATTTAATCCTAAAACTCTCACCATCATCAGAGCGCTACATTCGATTTCTATATGCACTATTTTTATTAATAGCTCATGATATATTTGAACGTTCTAGACGGACGAAATGTTAGATGAAATATGGATACCACATAATATGAGAGTTACCTATAATGATTCAATCATGGCTGTTGACGATTAGAAGGCCAAACACGGACGATTATTTGTATTACATGTTGGTACTCCTGTCGCTGTTACATGTTTACCACCACTGATTATCAAGATACTTCACTCTCCGAAATCAAAAGACGAGATTCAATTGGCCGAAGACCTTATATATTATTATTGTGAAACGTCCAAAGAGGTTTACGATCCAAGTATAGAATTATTCTCATTACACGCACATCTACATTTTCTACAACAAGTACGAATGCATGAAGGCTTAGCGTTTTCGCCCGCGCTTACATTTGAATCATGTATTCGACATACCAAAAAGAAACTTCATGGTAAGACAGTTAGCTAGTCAAATTGCATACTGGTGTGACATCGAATCAATGGTGAAAACAACTCGGTTTGTCGTTCCACTAGCAACTGGTGTTAATGAAATATCAATAAATCATGCATCAATTGATCCTTATCGTGATATATTTTTAGCAATCGTTGGTCCAATTTCTAACCGCTCATTTTCTTCTAAATTAACAAATTAGACATAGTGTACATATTCTGTATATAATATTTTGTAATTTGTATATTTTACATCATCTGTATACATTATTATCTATTTCGCTATAAATAATCTCAGAGGAAAATAATTATTTTTTGCGTTTTGCATAATGGTGTGAAACATGCACACGAATATTTAACAATTGATATTGAAGTAATTTTGTGCAAAATTTATTGTCATTTTTCAAGATCGGCCAAGCGTGTTGAAGAACTTAAAGCATATTATGAATTCATACAGTGTGAATATGGTGTAAGTCATCGTTTCTTAGTAAGAGTGAATGAGACAAATTATTGTCTGTTTAAAAAGTCAGTGGGCTCAGATATTTTTTGTATTTTCATAACTAATCAACATTCAGAGCCAAGACCCTGTTCATTTTGTAGAGAAATGTTTAATGTACTTAATTATGTAGTTGCAATTCTAGATTAGTTTGTAGCTTTACTGCAATAATCTTTTGAAAAAGAGCGAAAAAAGATACCTTTAGCTGGACAAGCCGTTCAGTGGTACTTGAATTACTTACTGAACCTCCCACATGTACTTGGGTGTTACTTGGGCAAGTGCTTGGAAAAGGACTTGACAGGAAGGTAAAGTAATTCAAGTATTTGATTTTCTTGACAAGTACTTGGTTTACTTGCAAAAAGGTTCAAGAACATTGGATAAAACTTGCGAGAGTACTTGACGAAGTACCTGCATGCAGGTACATTCACTAAGGCGAATATTATTATCATTATTCGTTCGAGTCTCCGCTAGTATACCACGCTTATAATCCCAGAAATAAATATCACACTACTACTATCGGATGTTATGAATAGGGTACATTATTTTTATCGTCAATCATTTTGGATTGTGTTATGAATGAATGATGCTCAAATGCTCGATACTCATTATACTCGCTAATTAAATTTCATCTTTTGAACGATGATGAGAATGTTATTGATGTATGGGGCATTAAGTTACAAAACCATTCATCTTCGTCATTCAAATAATTTATAATTTGGAGAAAAAACGCGCTGATCTTGATATACGACTATGTTCTTTACATCCAAATTCTTGTTTACTACAAGCTGATCATCCCCATGTTGTTATATCTTGCGGGATATAGGGTAATTCTTTCGAGAACGTACCAGAGTTTACATCGACTTTAACCGAATGGAATGGAACTTTCTGAATTTGTAGGACTAGTAACCCTAAGCATAGCTGTAGAGGCAAAAGAATTGTAAAACCTTGCGAAGGGATCCGAAGGAGGGGCCAAGGTAGGTTTTCCTAGCAAAACTGGACCATGACTAGCTGTTCTATTTCAAATGATAGAAGTCCGAAAATTCTACCATAGATACTACTCGTTGAGTTGATCATTTTTTGTAGCGAACGGTTTTTTCCCCCGTGTTCTGTTTTTTGGGAAATTGCTATAGAAAATCCTATTTTTTCGCGTTTTTTGGGCTCAAGTATCTCTATGAAGCCCAAATCAAATTTTAACTTTTATTAGTGCTCTTGAATCGTCTAATTGTCCTCTATCTAATGCTGAAATCCGCAGGTCTCCAGCTTGTTTCTGAACCAAATGGCAAAGCCATCTTTGAGCCCTACTTTCGATTTTTTCCCAACTTTTTTCCCTCACGAACAACTATGGGATTCCCAAAACCTGTCCTATAGTGGAACTTCATCAGCACACCTAGCTCTACCATTCCTGAAATTTTTTTGCCGTAATGTTTTTGCCATTCAAAACATCATTCAGCAAACTAGATCATAAAATTATAAAAACAGTTAAAGATATCAATAATAAGCAATTTATGTCACGGGGTGTCACAGATCTTAATCAGTCCAGTCTGCTACATTAAAGTGTGCGCATTAATCGAGTATACTGCTGATGTCGAACCAGGTTTCCACCAGTTACAGTTGTTTACCAGTTACCTGTACTTGTAAAACTGCTGATAACTGTAACTGTGAAAACTATAACTGCTCATAACTGTAGGCAAATATTCTAGGTTAGTCTTCTATGATTTGCATACATTTTGAGAATATCTCTACACTTAAAAAAATGTATGCAAATCGTAGAAGACTAACTTAGAATATTTGTCTACAGGTATGAGAGCTACAGTTATAACGGTTATACAATTATGACAGCTACGGTTTTACAGTTAACTGTAACTGGTGCATGCCTATGTCGAACTAATTATCAAGATCAAATCTTGATTTGTTGATACAAGTCGATGATTTCCCCATGTAGATCTAACTTACATTCAGAACACCGACTCCGGTGTTAGCGCTAATGAGCTAGATGCACGCTTTCTTCAATTCGCAGATTGTTCTTATATTACCGATGTTCATCGTCTTGACCGTCACCTCAACGATTTTGCTATAAAACGGGAAGAAAAATCCGCGAGTCGGCGTGAAAAGCAGTTGTCTTGATTTTTAGAAGATGAACCGCGGTATGATACTGAACCGTGTCAAAACCAAGGGGGAAAGAACTGACTCCACTTGACTCCAGTCGTATGGAGTCATCAGGAGTCAATTGGAGCCCAGAATCTGCTTTTTGACCCTTGCCCATCAACCTAAGGGAGAAACAATGGGACCCAGTCGTGTGGAGTCAGGAGGAGTCTGCTGTTTACCCCTTGTGTACCCATCACTAGGATTGTTACAGTTCCAATTCTAGAGAACTCGTGAAAGGTTCTCTAGACCCGGAACTGTCACAGTGCTGGCAAATAATTAAATGATCACTCATAACTACTCATGTTTAGTGGTATTGGCTTAGCATCAGCATTGAATTAGTATTAGCATACTGCCAATGTTTATGGTTCCCAATAACAGAGCAATTGCGTTCTGTTGTAAAGATCTAGTCCCAATAATAGAACAATTGTGTTCTGTTGTGGGAATTTAATCCTAGTAACAGGGCAAAACTGTTCTGTTTTGGGAACCATAAATACTCATTGATCATCAATGATCGATGATCAATGAGTATTTTTGAGTAATCATGAGCAATGGATGAATTGATTGATTCTGTGATTCGACCACTTCTTAAAAACTGATACGAATTGTTATATTCCTACATGTGACTCCACAATTCTATTACGTTCTGGAGTCATGTGGAGTCAAGTGGACTCAACTGATGCAGTGGAGTCTGGAGTCAGTTGTTTCCCCCTTGGTCAAAACTCTTGCATAAGTACATGTTTATAATTATAGTTAATTAAGTAATTATAGTGCTTATACGGCCTATAATGATTACTAATTTTAAAGATTGCATTAACAATAAATAAAAGCTCATCAACATTCGGGGGATGTCAAATGCGACAAATTAGTTTGTCTTCCTACTAATCTATATTAATTTGTGTTGAAACTGATCGAACAAACTTTCTTCTCATCGACAAACAGACACTAAATATTCACTAAGTGTACTTCGAGCATCATAATCGATGTGGAGATTAGAACAACAGTTAATGACAATGTTAAGCAGCAAATCAAAGATGTCTGTCCTCGCTTCACATTTATTTTCCCTCATGTCCATTGATTAGAGGTCAGGGTGACTATTACGATGTTGTTTAACATCGTTCCCGAAATGATAATGTCAGTTCGGGACTTATGAGATTATGAATCATTTATGAATTGCAAGATTCAGCATGATCAATAACATATGTTCCATCCATTTTTGACCTTTTGACCCCCTCACCCCCCGCGGAGCCCCACAACGGAGTCAGAACTTGCAGTAAAATATCAAAGTTAGTTATAGTGGTTTATTTTGGAGTGGTTAAACAAGAATTAAATTTAGCAAAAGCTTCAAGGCAACAATGAAGCCGATGTCCAGTTTCATTCCAAAATTGTTTGTCAAATTTTGCCAGTCTTTGTTTCACTTGCCATACATTAGACCGAGATTTATAGAGCGAAACAGATAATTCAAAATGCGTTAATAGTGGTAGTTTTCTGGAAATGTTTTCCCATTTTTGTCCATCGAGAAACGATATACTATATGCTAATACTCGTAGTCGATGAATATGAAATAGTTTTTCAATTAGAGTTTCGAAAAACACGGGTGGCATATCTTCCACTGATTCCAACGTCAGACTCGAGAGATTCGGAACGTGTTCACCGTTTATATCAGCATCTATGGCTGCGATTGACGATGGTCGAACATTGACGTGTAATGTTTTTATTTTTGGAAGTAAGCCACGTAATAACATAAGCAATTCGGATTGTGAGAGAAGCAAACATATCTTCAAATGTTCTACATTGGATACGGTTATTCCACTAAAATCCGTCGAATCGACTCTATATTTATCAAATATGCATGTTTTTAATGACGTCATTTTGTTCGATAAAAGGTATTTAACATAACACTTCATCTTCTTGTTTTGTGTTTGAACACGAAAATACGTCAGAAAAGGCAGTTTATCCAGTTTCGGTAGAATATTCACTTCATCTGAATCCTTCGTATGCATCAAAATCAACGAACGAAGTTGAATGAATTGATCAATACAAAATGTATGGTTAAATAAATCAACTTCTCGTGAGCCAAATTTCGTATTGCACAACTTTAAATAGACAACTTGTTCGACAAATTCCGTTATGTATCTTACGCAGTAATCAAACAAACCGGGACATGTTGTTGATAAATCAATGGATAGATTAATCGAACCTATTATCCAATCGAACCGTTGATTTAATCCAAAAAAACCATGTACAACATCGTACAGTTGTAGATAGCTTAAAACATGGATCAATGTTTCATTCGCCAATTCTTCCAAAAAGGGCATCTATAAAAATAATTCCAGATACAAGGTGCCGGAGATTCGAACTTTCAGTAAAAATTCCATTTACGTTTTTTTATATATGGATTGATAGAGCGTGAGCCGCTGATTAAGAAAAACGGGTTCCTAGCTTTGGAAACGTGTTTTCAGGTCGAAAAAATTCGAAAACTTGAAGAGGACTGGTTTTCCGAAAAACACATGATTTTCGAAAATATGCAGAATTTTGTATTTTGCTCTTTTGTTCAGCTTATGACGCTTGAGGTACGTCGAATGATATGTATTTCTATCCATCCTATCTGACTACTTAAACGTTTTTGAATTCTTATGTTGAAAAATGATCGAGTTTTTCGCCAAAAAAAGAAAAGCAACTAAACATTTCGAAATGCACATCATTTGACTCCGTTTTTGATCCTAATTCCGAATATGGCATTTTTATTCCATAGAAGGTGAGTTCTGTTAAGGAAAATCGAGAATTACGAGTAGAATTCTGACTTTTTCGCCTCTGATTTAGAAAAACTGATTTTTCTCAACAAAGAAAAGAAAAAAAAAGCGATGCATACTTTTGTGACTGGTGGTATGATGAGTCGAACGAGATAAAATATTTGCCGTCCTCTCTTAAGCAGAAAAAATAGATAAGTTTGCAAAAATGACCTATAAGCATTCCAATGGGCGCAATTCCAACCGCCATCAAAAGGCTTTTGGGTTAAAGTCGATTTAACGTCGTGTGTATACTCAGTTTTAAACACTGAATCCGAAAACAATAGTTTCATAAGCTGAACAAAAGAGCATAATACAAAATTCTGCATATTTTCGAAAATCATGTTTTTTTCGGAAAACCAGTCCTCTTCAAGTTTTCGAATTTTTTCGACCTGAAAACACTAGGATCAAGCTAGTTTCCAAAGCTAGGAACCCGTTTTTCTTAATCCGCGCTTCTTACAGCTTAAAAAAACGTAAAAGGAATTTTTACTGAAAGTTCGAATTTCCGACACCTTACATGCACTCTCTTGTAAAATGGCACTATGAAATAGCATTAGAAACAAGGCAGTTCTTCTAAATGTTTTTAACTCTCTAGTACCCTGTCACCAAGGAGCTATTGCCACCTTTAGAAGGTGTCACTGGCAGCTATTGCCACTTTCTAGCGTACTTCTATGCTTGAAGCACTAGCCGTTATTGACACCTTCGGCCATAGTGATAAGCTAGGAGCCGATAGCGATAGCCTGACACCTTCTGAAGGTGATAATAGCTCCTTGGTGACACCTCTGAGAGTGGCAATAGCCATTCCAGAAAATGAAATACTCCCTTTTCTTAAAGTATATGTTTCTTTAAATATCAGATATGACTGGTGATCCAGAGGTACTTTTGCCGCGCTGCACCAAATTAGATAAAAATTGGACGTTACTCACGAGGGAACCACCGGTGGTGATAAATCGCTTTTTCATCGACATCTAGTGGATTATAGGTTATCGATCATGCTGATTCCGAATATGACCATGGGGCTTCCCCATAGCTCTTCGAAGATTCAGTCTTCTGGAAAACCAGTTTTTCAGAAACCCCAAAAAATAATCCAGACCTTTTTTAACAATACAGGATTGTAGCGTGCAAATTTCTTATTAAAATGAAACATCCCCCAGCTCCACATGACCTTTCTTTGCAAAGTTATAGAATTTATGAGAAGAGCCCTAAATTAATTATGTCTGTAGCTTTGATACGACAATGAATAATTTAGGGCTTTTTTTAAAATTCTATAACTTTGTAAAGAAAGATCGTGTAGGGCTGCTAGATGTTCCATTTTAATCAAAAATTTGTGCGCTACAGTCCTGCATTGTTAAGAAATATTTGGATTAGTTTTTATGGTTTCTGAAAAAACTGGTTTACCGGAAGACTGGATCTTCGAAGGACTATGGAGAAGCCCCATGGTCATATTCGAAATCAGTATGGTTGATAACCTATAACCCACTAGCTGTCGTGGGTAAATGCCGTCTTAGTAAATAATTAGCTAAAACTCATGGAAACTCCTATATTATTTTCAATAAATCACGTTCTACTTTCCAGTGTCTAATGATTATCTAGAACAAATATCTAAGAAATAATTATGCAAAAGCAATGTCAACATCGAGTTGAAAAACGTAGTGTCAGTAGCCAAATTTAGTTTTTGCTCACACCATACTCTACCATGGAAAAGATATCTTTCAACAATTTAACACTTCTTTAAGAAGACGTGAGAATGATATTCATTGCACGTTGATGGCAAAATATGCTGAAGCACACGACTGGTGGTATATGTTATTGTTCGCTATTACTTTCATTCTTTCTGCAATTGCGTGCCATTTCGGTGAATTTATGCCGTGGTACTATCTATTTGTGGCTGTTCCATTTACAATCATCTGTGTATTACCCGTTGGTATTGTTCAAGCAACAACGAATCTCCAGATTTTGCCCGATTCGGTTGCAATTATTATTGGCGCTACCATTTTCAAAAATAATCTCATAGCTTTGCTGACATTTGCAGCTTATTCCCATCAAATGCTAACAGATTCGTTATCATTACTTGCTATCTTGAAATTTGGACATTATATGAAAATATCATCGCGTAGTCTCTTTATCACTCA